CACCTTCCCTGTTACATCAGTCGTGCCCCATTTAAAGCTACATGTGAAAAAGGAAAATCTTCTCACATTACATTACCTAACACCACTAACCTGCACCACACTTTAATTGTGGTCTTAAGACAGGTCCTGCTATTGTAAGTGGATGAGCTCACGGAGGAGCCAAGTTTGTGTTGAACTCTCAGTGGCGGACTATTAGTGGCTCCTTTCCCTCTAATCTGGAGGCTTTACGGCAGATCAGAATAGAGCGCTCCATTCTCAGAGTGAATCAACAGTAGTGTAGTGCAGACACGTATTCATTCAGAGGACTTTACAGGTGTCTGTAGAAAACAATGGCTGCTGTGTAAGGGAGGTTCCTCTAACAAATGGTTCTGTGGACAGTAAAAGGAGAGGTAGGAGACAGAGAGGACACTGAAGGGTCTGCTAGAACACCTTGATGGACTGTAAACCTGAGCTTTGTTCTCTGTCTCTTCAGTACAACATCTCCCCTCAGTCCGGTGAGGTTCCCAAGAGTCGCAGTCTGGAGAGGAAGCAGCAGGATCCCATCGTCCTCACCAAGTGGAGGCACAGCACTTACGTCTTAGACCTCAACGACAAGGTATGTGGAAATGTGGGAGCGGATGTGGGTTAAACACAGTGTTGATGGAAACAGGCTCTGCTGACGCTGTAGGTGTTTCATGTGGTCTGTCTTATCGGCACGTACAGTGAGCTTAATCCCCAAGTGCTAATGACGCTTTCAGCTCAATGGAGGAAAAGGCTTACAACGGCTTAATCTGTCTCTTTTATTTTGGAATCTGGACAAAAGGTGGTGAAAACTAATGTTAGCAAAATGTGACATTTTAGCTTTATCCACTGTCTATTGGGCGTACACCGGCAGGGCTCCAGACTGTGACCAAAATGACTGCATATGCCGCCTTTTTTTAGAGTGTGTACGAATTTCACGTGGTCGCATTTGTGCTAGTGTATGATGATCATTAGGCTGTTATGACCCCTCCCACCAACTCAGGTAGCTTCTGCCTCAGCCACAGCGGTCGAAAATGGTACTTCTTTACTGGCTCATTTATTCTCTCCCTGTCCATGTAGCTGTCACCATGTCACAGAGATGAAATGTTTGTAGCTGATTATTTAAAAAATGAGAATGATTCAACAAAGGAGGAGGCTGGTGGAGATGGAGAGGTTCTGACTCAGACACACCAGATCATGAAAGGGCCGGCTGCAGGGAGACACCGACAGAGCCAGTGAAGAAGAAGAAACAGTACTTTGTTCAATCACAATGGAGAACGCAGTGCTAGGGCAGCAAAATACATCCAATAATAATCACTATTTTTCAGATGCCTTATTTCAGGCTTTCCAAGTCATTTTTTATAACATGTCTTTCTGAGTTGTGTGAGCTGCAGTAACTTGAGTAGAGAGACTGGAGGCCTCTGTTCAGTCAGCTAGCTAGAGTGTACCTTATCCTGCATGTGACTCTATCAATCGATTAGTACCTTACTGTACCAAAAAAAGATGGAGAGGAAGGGATGTGACTAAATTGTGATGGTACGACTAACTGAGGGAGATGACAGCACCAGTGTCACCAGTGGAAAAGTCAGTCTGGAGTCCTGACTGGTCCTAATGGTGCATGTAGCTGACAGCTTAATCTCAGTGATGCATACTGTGTGACTTCCTCTGGGTACCTGCTACTGTGTCCTGCAGTCCTATGACCTGAAGATGGGCAAGGCAGCCAGTACACGGTGCATTCACATGAGCACTCGGACCTTCCAGCACTAGTTTTACCTATATTACTCATGTTATTGTTTGTTCCTGCAACTTACTTTGCACATTTATCAGTTTGTGAGCCAACTCCCAAGACACACACTGAAAAAAGGCTGGTTAAGCAAAAGCAGTAGAAACTGAACTATCCTTACTCTTCCCTACACTTCCCATAATTTAACAAGTCACTTTTTTTTATTCAATCCTTCCTACCATCGGTAGCCTAGCAGGTGTCAGGACAGAAAACCTCAACATTTGTGCTTTCAAATCTCAAATTATCTGTACATAAAAATAGCCGATGCTTGCTGTTGAATAATGAAAGTTTGTGCACAAACAGTCATAACACTCAGTGTGGTAGGTGTTCTCACATAAGTTTCATTAGCATGTGTTGTTCAACAGGTAAACAGTAATAAATGTGTCCACAGAGTTCCATCCTTTCATTAAATGTAGAACAGTACCAGTAGAAATCAGGACATTTTGTCCTACTGCTGCAGTGACTGAACATTGTGTGTCAGAGGCAGGTTGATTATAAAATGATGTGAAGTCGTGAGTTAAAATCAGTTAGAAGCAGAGCTGCTACATTCTGAACTTGTTCATTCACATGCTTTATTGTTTTCTGGCATAAGCTGAGGGGCTGCAGTGTTTTCTTAGACTTGATAACCAAAAATGACATTATACGACTGGTTTCACAAGCTGACGTATGAAGTACTCCATAGGACCAGTAAATGAAGTTTACATGTGAGATGGGAGTGCTCAATGAGTTGTTCTCGGTTAGTATTAATTATTTAAGTGTGCTCATTACATCATGTTCTGTGATCAGTTACCTGACAGTCTTCAAAGACATGTGACCTCACACTTTACTGTCATTATTTATTTAGGGTGCTTCTTTTTATGTAACAGTTTCAAGCAAAACTGTAAACGTCTATCTTGACAGGTGTTATCTGTCTGTCAGTCTACATTAGGGTTTTTCATTCAGTGATTGGATGCAAGATGAGGCAGACATCATATGCATCCCTGTATTAGTGACATCAGTCAGACTTTTTTACTTTTAAGATTAACACAGTGTATCAGAGGCTAACTTTGTGGCGGTTTCGTTGCAGTTTTCCTTCAAACTCTGGCGGTTCGCCTCTGACCCGCATAAGAAGAGACTCCGTCTCTCTGTGTATCGTGATAAAGTTGGTACCGCCCACAGCCTCTGCTCCTCGGCGTCCTCTCTAATCAACAGCTGATCTGTTTTGATTCTCTGTCAGAGTGTCCTTCAGAATAAACGTCTGTACAAGATTCAGGCAGACCACGTGCTCACCCAATCACAGACTAGTTTTTCCTGTTGTGGACTGTAGTTCCAGCAGAATGGAAAGAAGCAGCATCTTGGACTAAAACGATGAATTAACACACTTTTCTCAGAAACTGAAAAAGCATGTTGTTTGTTACTCAAATCGAAACCTGCCTTTTATCTTCTGATGCCCTGAATTAACAATAACTCCATCTTTTGATTCCACTCCAGGTTTTTATCCATTTTCTTCTCCTCACTAACCTCGGACTGACTGTCTTCATGTGTCTTCTTGTAGTTAGCCGGTAGTTATTAGCCACTCATCATGTTGTGCCTCTTGTTGGTAGGAGTGTGCTCCGGCGCCCAAACAGAGCTCTCCAGACTCTGACTCCTGCCCCTCATCTCCTAAGCACCCCTCGACCGTTAGTATCCCAGCCTGCACTGCACACCGCATCGCACTTATCATCCTCCTGCTTTCACTGCATCCAAACAAAACACTTTTCATCTCTCACTTTCTGAACACTCCACCTGGTCTCATCTGCTGCATGCCACATTCTAACTGCATCAAACCTAACTCGGTGACAAAACTCTTACTTCCACCAGCAGAAATGCAGCAGTTTCAACACTTTGCTGCAGCGTTAGAGTGCCATCTGCTGGTCATATTTGGACATAGCATCAGTCAACACGGCAGCTTTTAGCCTCCAACACTGTCCCATTTGCTTGTCAAGCTTTAGCGCGTGTATGAGAGTGTTTGTGTATTTGTTTGCATGGGTTTCATTTGTTTTTACCTGCCATCTCTGTCTTTCCTCAGCCTTCAGAGAAGTGTGGAGTCCTCAATGTCACCAAAATCACAGAGAATGGAAAGAAAGTCAGGTTAGTTTCACTGCTTTTTTTTTAACGGCTGACATTCAGTGTTTTTTTAATTCACAGAGCGTGAATGTTTTGTATGTTTTCTCTTGACTAACAGGAAGAACTGGACCTCCTCGTGGACCGTGCTGCAGGGTTCCTCTCTGCTCTTTGCCAAAGGTCAGGGGGGCAGCACCACCTGGGTACGTATCCCATCAGCACCAAGAGGCTCGTGCTTCTGCTAAGTCTCTGAGCTGTTTTTTTTAGCATTCCTTCCATCTCTGTGATATTTCTCTCTCCTGTATTTCTGCATAGTCACCTGTCTTCATGCCATCTGTGATGTGAAGTCCGTCATCCTCTGTTTATTGCTTTTCTCCTCTTCTTTCCTCTCCTCCCTGAAGTCATACTACCGCAGCGGCTCTATCCCAGAGCTGCTCCTCACTCTTCTTAGCAGCTGGAAGCGCTCAGTCAAGCCCCGCCCTGCTGTCTCCTATGTGAACTGTAGGCCTGTGCAGGCTGCCGCTGTATGTCCTTCTCTCTGCATGTGTTGCTGCTCCTTCCTGTCTTCTGTTGTTTTTTGCCATTCACCCCTGCTTTGACTGACCAGGAGACTGACTGATCTGTGTTGTTATGCTTGATTCACTTGATTCTGATGGACAATAACTTGGTTAGACAGATTAAATGAGGCCTTTGTGTGTGTGTTTTTTTTCTTTTCTTGAATTCGCAAGACAGCATGTAAGAAGCTACTATTTTATTGAAACCAATTTACTCCAAGTATGACATTTTTGAGTCTTATGAGAATTCACTTGTGCCTTCTTTTTGCACTTTAATGATATTAAACCACACATTCTGCCTGGTGCTTAGAGATCACACTGTTTGGAAACGCAAGCAAATAAAACTGGACCTCATGCAAGAAACACATTCACTAGTTTTCTTATTTTAGAATTTTGTCCTTGGTACAAGCAAAATGCACGACTGTTGCACACCTGCTCTGCTGGTCAAGTAGTTTATTCACTGAGAAAAACACACCTGATTCATCTTAATATCTTAATTTGGACCGACCATAAAGTTGAAATATTAGATGTGTGACAGAAATTACCTACAGTGTAATTCTTTAAAGCAAAAACTTTAGAAAGACTACATTGAAAATGCAGACTTCAGAGTAGAAACTCAATGCCACAAAAACGAATGCATTTGTGATCAATGACCTGAGATTTTTAATCAACCCAACTTGTTTGTAAAATGAGCGATGAGCAGCAGAACGTAGTTTGGGCCATATGAGCTGCGTCTGTCTGCATCAGGACTCCACGTGGAAAAGAATTGCCAGAGGAACTGAAAAATGTGATTGTGTTTCCTCACAAAGATGGAAAATGAGGACCAACAAAAAATCAGTGGAAACACAGTGACGGCAGGAATCCTCCTCCTAAGATGACACCACTGACAGTTCACTACGTGCACAATCTATCTCATGTTTGTTGCATTCAGCTGGTCCTGTGGAGCCTCTATTTATAATTATTTTTTTAATTTTCTGTAAGCGCAAATACCCTACTGCTCAACATGGAAGCAATGCAAATATTTAGAGGTGACACAATTTAGAATCATTTGACTGTTGGGTGGTATTGCACAGAGTTGTGCTCACTTCTGTTGTAAGCTGAATGATGAACAATTAGAAAACAAAGATCATTTAGAATCAATGTTCTGCTCACATCATGGCACTGAAAGTTGCCAGAGGATGAACTTAGTCTAATTAATTGGCATGAATATTACACAAGACTTCTGCAGTTCAGATGAGACAAATTCAAAACACTCAGCCATGAGTATGACATGCAGATGTGTTACATGTCCTACACTGTGTTTCTGTTGTTTCACATACCGTTCATGCCCTCCTCCTCCCATGTGGAATTCCATCAGTTTAACAAATTATGCTCAGTTGTTTTATGACATTTGACTTAATGTTCAAGGAAACATGTCAAAACACAAATGAAGGCCTTGTGTTGTAGTTAGGAGGAAGATTTCATGTGAAGGAAGGAGTGAAGAGGTACTAATGTCTCACCAGTTACACATTTTGGAGTTTGGAGACTTTGTTGTATGAATAAAAGACAGATTGAGATCAACAGGATGAAAACATTTTTGCATGAGGCCCACTGTGACGATCACTTTTCTCTGTGACGCTAAATTACGTCACACATATCATCATTCAGCTACAGCAGTGACAAAATTTGCGAAAAGTAGGCTTTAAATAGTATAAGTCAAAATATTGAGTGTTTATTAATATGCACATGTTAATAACAAGAACTAATAGTGTTTCTGTCTTTCTTGTAACAGAACTAAAAATGTGTGAGTGTAGATGAAAAGTTCTAAAATGATATTTACAGGATTTATGAGGGTGACACCCAGGGGTTCAATTGGGCCGAAGCCCACCACAGCAGAGCTCCGCCTCCTGATAGCAGTTTGCCTCCATCGTAGCAATAGAAGTAGAAATCTGCCTCAGACAACATGAACGTAGTGAGGTCAGCCAAAGTGTTGAAACAGCACCACCATCAGAGTTGGCTCTCTGATGTGGCAGAAGATGGTACAGCAGGACGTTTCTCTTCTGACCGCTGACCTGAAACTTCCATTCCACAGGAGGCAGGCTGATATTAAAACCTACCACAACAATGACACGCTGTGGGGGCTCATGTTTCTGGTAAAGGGGACACCTGAACAGCTCTAGAAGCAGATTATGGCCTCCAGACCCTCCACAGACTGGATGAGCTCAAGAGCTGGCAGAGTAGTGACGAAAGCAAATCATGTATGGATATGTCATTAGAATCCTTAAGAGTAGCGACAGTTACCCACAGTTCCAAGGGGCAGCCTCTGCCAAGTCCTGACAGCTGACTTCAAGGCACTGCGCTGTTTGTGGTGCTGGAACTGACTTTGTTTCTCTGTGAGGAAGGAATACACTGGCTGTTTTCAGATCCTAGGTTTACTAGATTCAAATGCAACATCTCAAAAGTTACTTTACAGCTCGACTGACGAATAAACTTCAGACTGGTCAACTGGTTTTACTGTCTGTGAGGCTAAACTAATTGCACATGAGCCCCCCCACTTCACAAATCCCAGTTCAACCCCTGGTGACACCTGCTCTAACAGTCACCCCCAAGATAAAGATTTAGAATATATTTTATAACTTTGTATATTTTGTCATATAGAGGGTTCAGGTCCTGGGCTTTTACACTCATATATTCAAACTCTTGTCTTTCTTGTATTTGACGTGACTACATCTTCTGATTCACTCACAAACTGCCTTGATATTTACTTCTGTGTTCATGTTTGTGTCTGAAGTGGACTCTCATGCTGTATCCCAATTATTGATTCCAGAAGTTCGGCAGCAATCAGTCGAAGCCCGAGTTCACGGTTGATCTGCGTGGGGGGTCGGTGGAGTGGGCCTCCAAGGACAAGTCCAGCAAGAAACACGTCATCGAGGTATCAGACACACTGGACCTGCTGCTGGCACATTTCAACACTAGCTTTTAGTTGTGCAGTTCTGACTTTTGATCCTTTCCTTCCCCAGCTGAAGACCCGTCAGGGCACAGAGCTGCTGATCCAGTCCGAGATCGACAGCGTCATCAACGACTGGTACCGGGCCCTAATTGAGACCATCAACACTCATGTGAGTGGACGCCTTCGTTTTCTGCCACCGTTCATGTTGGCTTTCATCAGCACAGTGTTTGGATGAGACAGAAGCGTTACCTGTGATTCAGCCACTTCTCATCTCTGGGATACGAGTTCAGGCTTTTTCCCTGTTTAGTGCCACCAGAGCTGAAATCACACTTAACACCTGTTTAAACAAACCACAGTGAAAGGGTAAATACTCAGGAGTGTGAATGAGCCTCTACAAACTTGGATGGATTGAATGGGATCTAAGAGCAAATTCAATGTGAGCTGACTTAAGCTAACAGCACATATTTGTGTCTCTTCCCGTCCAGGCGTGGGAGTCGGATGAAGCCATTGAGGAGGACATGCCTGAGTCTCCGGGAGCAGAGAAGCAGGACAAGGAGAAAGACCACCGGGACTCCAAGAAGAATAGAGGTGAGACAATCAGCTAGTGTCCCTGCACTGCTGTTGGAATGGAGCATAAATGTGTTTGTATTCTTGGCTTGAAGAGAAGCACTCACATCCTGCCTGTCTCCTCTCAGTGATGAAGACCTCAGTGAGCATGGACTCGTCAGACCAGAAGAAGACCAGGTTGAAACTGAAGAAGTTCCTGACACGTCGTCCCACATATCAGGCTGTCCGAGACAAAGGATACATCAAAGGTATTCAGCCAGAATCCAGCTCAGTAGCTCAAGACGAGACACGTGAAGAGCCTCCGTCAGACGTGGAATCTGTTCAGCTTCATGTCTGGATGAGCTCTGTGCTCACTTTCCATTAAAGCCGAACCACTTTCAGTGAGATACAAGTCTGAGCTGCACCTGGTCACTGTAACTGATAGGCACGCACAAGAAGGGATTCTTCGAGTTATGTGAAGTGATTCAGGGAAGACTTTTTTTTTTCACATTTCAATACCAATGTTTGTCCAAAACATCAACATCACAGAGAGCAAACGTAGCCTTTTGTCCTACGATTTAAAATCTATTCAGTCATGTTCATAAAAATGAAACGCTGCTATGATGAGAAACACACACTAACCACTTAATACTTCACCAGTATAATGCATTCTTCCCCACAAGATGTTAACATGAGCTGAGGTTGCTTTAAGGAATTTTTACTGTGAGTTTATTAAACAGCAGCAGGATCCATCCAGGATTCAGAGAGATGAATGAATTAACACCCAGAACAACAGTAACTTCATCAGTAGGTTCTAATAGTATGGATACAGGATGGATCAGGATCTAACAGCAGGTCACACTGTGTGCTCTCCTTCCCCTCAGACAGGCGAGCTGTCACAGAACCAGTCTGTCAGCTGCAGTTTGATCATCTGTTGCATCGTGACCGTCCTCACGTCCTGAGCTCCGTCACAGGATGTTTTTATTTATTGTTTGTAAAGCAGAAGTTAGATTATCATCATAAATAAACTGTTAATTATTTGGACAGTTTGATAAGCTGCTATCAGTTAGGATGTGATCTGTTTTATTTATTATTATGTTCTACATCACTTAGAGTTGTCTAGTCTTCTGTGAATGACAAATACTGTGTGCATACTGTGGCTCTCTCCGTCCATGTGGCGGATACGAGGAACATTAAAGGGATCTGCTGTACGTCTGCATGAACTGATGAAGTATCGATGTTAAAGGACCAATGTCTTAAAGGGATAATGTGTGCTGAAACATTAAAGATAAATGTGTTTGTCTACTTACAGATCAGGTGTTTGGCTGCAGTCTGACCAGTCTGTGCCAGCGGGAGAACACATCAGTGCCCAACTTTGTCAAAATGTGCATCGACCATGTGGAGAACACAGGTACGAGCAGCACCTACCGCATCCTGAGTCATCCTTTAGACTTGTTTAATGTCTCATGTGGATTAGCCCCCTGCTCATTTCCCCATAAAAGTCATGATAGAAGGTAACCTTTCTATGTCAGACCTAATAACATTTTGGAATAAATGAAGTCACACATTCAGGATTATTACATATTGAGCTTTCCACTGCAGGATCTTGGGGCAGCCACGAGGTGCTGTGAATGTTAACAGGCCTGTAATCCTTTGACTTTTCTGTTTTCTGGTTTGGTATCAAATAGCTTTGACTACAATGTCTGCTTCTAGTACATCAGACAACAACAAATAGTAGCAACTGGATGTAACTTCAGTTCTATGAATATGTAGGAAATGGGGCAAGCGATGGTTTGTTGCATCAGCCTGTCAGAAGAGAAGACTTCTAGTTGATGAGGACATCAAGAGGGAGGAAAAAATTAGCCCTGTTTTCCTCTTCGAGTTTAACTAATCAGCATCCGTCTACTCAAGTTTACCGAATTAGTGTCGAGCCGTGCAAGTAGTTGTTCAGGGCCGCTCAGTAGTAAGCAGCTTCTACAGACACAGTTCAGAAAAAGCACAAAGGTTTGGGCCAGCATACAACAAGTTCCTGTAGTGAAAAACAGCCACTAGTGGGCCTGCAAATCATGAAGCTCAGCAAACTGTGATCAAATCCCAGACGTGGTTTGGAAGCAGCAGGTTTGACTTAACAGAGGAACTGTTTTGGATTTTTCTAGACAAAATTCAATTTTTAAGACAAAGATTTTAAATCACTGTTTATTTGAATCATTTCATTTAATGCGTCCCCATTTAAACGTGCAACAGTAAAGAGCTGCATCATCGTTCATACGTCTGTGACATCGTGGTGCTTCACTGTGTTCTGTTCAGTACAAACCTTCAACCAGTGACCAGTGATCACACCAGCCATCCACTGCATCAGCTTCATTGCTGGTGATTGTTTTCATGGATGTTACTCTTTTAGTGCCCTTTTAGCTGACATCATGCTAGAATACGCTAACCGGGTTAGCGCAGGGTTATTGGTCACAACATAATCGCTGCTTTCTCATCAGATTCGTCTCCCCGTGACTTCTTCCTGTTCCCCAAAATATAGTCCAAGTCCAAGGGTTCCCACTATGACACAGTTTAGGTGATTGAGCGCTGATCACAAATGTTGCCTGATGAGTGTTTCAGACATGCTGGCAGCAGAACATCACTGCTCAGAGACATTGCTTTGACTGAGGTGGTAAATCAGACGTGTGTTTTGATTTTTATAGGCACCTTCTCTGAACTTTTTGATCAAACCTTGGAATGTAATATAGTTCAACAGTACCACAAACTACATCCTCCAAATAACATACAGCTGAAGAAACACCTAGCTGGAGCTAATAAACTGCCAGCTGACGACTGATTTGACTCAGTGATTTATTTTCAGCTACATCAGTTCACATCAAATGTACAAAAACAACACAACTGTGAATTTAAACCCCTGAAAATTGTCTTTGTTAAAGTTATACCTAAAATCTTTCAAGGTCTACTTTCTAGCTCCTCCGCTCACAAGCAGTTCCCATGAATGGCACTTCCAACAGTTCAGTATATTGAAGCACACTGAGGCGTGTTCAGCCTGAATCAGGAATCTGAAGCGGTTTCTATGTACTGTTTGCTTTGGCTGCTTCAACTTTTTGTATCAGGCATAATCAATCCGTCTTTCAAGCATCAACAGGACTGTTTTGGTACAGACTACTTTCAGTGTGTTCAGGAGCAGCGAAGGTGTGAGGTGATGCAAGGTGAAGAGTGTTTGATCGGCCTGCCTCTGTTAGTTCTCTCTCTTTGAGATCAACTTGGCATTTCAGGAAGCACAAACACAGTCCTGTCATTTACACTCACTGCTTTTGTCTGTCCACCCTTCTTCTCATCCTCCCCCTGCAGGGCTCAGTATTGACGGCTTGTACAGAGTGAGCGGGAACCTGGCAGTGATCCAGAAGCTGCGCTTTGCTGTGAATCACGGTACGACTGCAGCTTTGTCTGACCACCTGTAACTGTGCAGCCTGTATGTGTGATGTGAGGAGCCACCTGACTGGAGTTAGTTACCAACTGACTGTCTCTTTCCTTGTCTTCCTGTCGCGTTCGGTTTCCCTCCGTCTGTCAGATGAGAAAGTGGATCTGAATGACAGTAAGTGGGAGGACATCCACGTCACCACCGGAGCCCTCAAGATGTTCTTCAGGGAGCTTCCTGAGCCTCTCTTCACATACGGATCTTTCAATGACTTTGTGAACGCCATTAGTGAGTAACTGATTCTCTGTCACTGACGCACTACGGCACAGTCTGACACGGTTAAAATACACAAGGACCAATAGGATGCTGAAGTTAAAATCCTCTCTGACTTGACACGGATGAGGTTTTTGTTCCTAGTGTGGCCACAAGATGGCACCGTATGCCTGTGCATTCACTCACTCTGTTTCTGTGTTTCAGAATGCTCAGACTACAAGCAGCGAGTGAATTCAATCAAAGACTTAATCAAGAAGTTGCCAAAACCCAACCACGACACAATGCAAGTCCTGTTCAAACACCTGCGGAGGTAAGAGCAGCGCAGAGACGCCATCATGGCTCACCTCCATGTGCTGATGATGGGTGGATGTAGCACCTATAAAGAAGTGATGCTTACAGATGAAATTCTTAACCTCTTACACAGCTTACATCTTTTATTTGGAAGTAATAAATGCTTGAGAAGATGCTGAGCGAGACCGATGTTCCAGTCAGACATATTTTGTGACCTCCATGAACCTCAGTACTTCGGAGCACAAACTGAAGTGTATCACCTCAAATATGAAAGTTACTGAAAGTGGTAGTGGACCTGCTCAGATTTGTCTGTGTCACTAACCCTAACCCTTTCTTATTTAACCTCTTGTCACATTTTTACTCACTCTGGGCTCATTTTTCAGTGCAATATAGAGTCTTACACCTCTGTGGAAACACCATGGCTCGAAGTAGAGAGAACTCAAACACAGCTTTTGTCAGTAAGACAGAAAGCCAACAAACATTACAAAAAATGGGAAAAAAACAAAACACCGGAATCTACATGTACAATATTTTTCTAAGTGCCCACATCTGTTACTCATATGAGAAAAATGGTGTCTTCACATATTCTTGGTATTTTATACATATTACAGACGTTCCTCTTGGGGATCAATAAAGTATTTCTATTCTATCCTCTCTATTCTATGGTGAGCTGTTTACATTTTTACAACCTACATAACTCTGTGTTTTTCAAACTAGTCAGCACACCAACTCTAGAGGAATATGTCACCAGGCTGACTGTATCTTTCAGGAACTTGCTGACAGCTTGCTCCTCTTGTTTACTGGTTTTGAACCGTGCTGCATTTATTTTATTGCTCAAGTGTGCTTTGTTTTCTTTTCGGTCTCTCTGTTGTATCGCCGTGTCTCTGAATCTGAAAAGTCTCTGAAGTTTTTAAAGGAGACATGTAGAAGAAAGGGAGTTTAGTTAAATATCTTGGTTTTGAAGCTTAGATTTGAGTCATTGTGCCGAACGAACGATGTGATGAAATGAAGTAGTGTTAAGAAGTTGATGTCTTTTTGTTTTAACAGTTTCTGGCTCTGATAAATGTTTGAGTTTTGGCTATTTTTTAGGTGTGTTTGGGAGTTTAGGGTGTTAACTCAGGGAATTCCTGAGCTTATTCAGGATCTTTTGGAGTTATATTTCTATTGTTGGCAAAATTCCTAATTCAAACACGAAGGTAGAGTTGAGTTTTTTTTAAAGATGAAAAGCTTAAGAGGAGTTTTATGTTTTTTAAACTAAGGTATAATTGCAATACATTGTGTAGTAACAGATATTGAAAGTATTCCATTCATATATATTATTCCATTTATTATGGTCTCAGCTGCAAATATGTAACAACCAGCTGCTGAACACTTACAGGAAGTGACACCAAGAAAAGGAAATTCTAAAGAACGGCTCATACTTTAAACTGTACTTTACTCTGTTCCTACATTCAGGTTCATTATGTTTCCGTCAGGCTCACAGTTGCACCATCGACATCCAGCCCTACTATGTTTGGTTACTGTAGTAGAAGCTTTCTTGTGATGTGGGTCTACCTCTGTCTACTCCACCTCAGCAACACGTCTGACTGTTCAGCCTTAACCAGACACACACTTAAATGAGTTTCATGCATGCAGATCAAGCTGAGTTCTGACCGGTTCAGCTGTTTGACTCTGTGTTTACCTTTCCTCCGACTGATCAGCCTGTGGGCAAACACAAACTACAGCCAACGTGTATTCTTAGCCCGCTGGAGCCGGTGGCAATATCATATGTTCACAATGACATTTGCCTAGGTTTCCAATTTGCATTTATATGGCGCTGTGTTTGCTGTAATTCAGTACCTATGAAGTGGTGTTTCTTGAGGAAATTTATAGCGTGACATTCAGTGTATGGAGGTCTACGTGTATCAGCAGGCGGATTTAATCTTCCTTTTTTCCTCCCCTCCATGAATATGTTATTGTTTTGTGCATCTGCATGCAAGGATGTAGATTCTATTTAAAAAGGTTGTTATGCTCTCGCCTGGAGCGTTCTGTAGCGTTGCATAGAGTGTGTCGAGAGGCTTGCCTCTACGCTCCATCTCCAGCCCTAAAGATGTGTGTGAGCACAGTAATGGTGTTTTTCCAGATGAAACCCTGAAGCTGCACTGAAACCAAACGATTGTCAAACAAATACACTCACCTAAAGCCATGTATGACACATCCAATCTCTAAATCTCCTCCTGTTCTACTTCTCCCTCCCCCCTCAGGGTGATAGACCACGGAGAGGCCAACCGCATGACCACCCAGAGCGTGGCCATCGTGTTCGGACCCACGCTGCTCCGGCCCGAGACCGAGACGGGCAACATCGCGGTCCACATGGTGTACCAGAACCAGATAGTGGAGCTCATACTGCTCGAGTATGAAAGTATTTTCGGTAGGTAGAGGCGCCTGCTCAGAAGAGGACGCCAGGCTTTTCCAACTTGGACTTCTTTCCACTCACCCGTTTTTTCTTTGACTGAACTGAGCATTGCTGTGGACCAAGCAAATCTAAGTTCCATTCATTGACAGTTTACGAAAGTGTTGCACTTACAGAAGTTTTGGAGATGAATTTAAAACAAAAAACAAAAAACAAAACATGGTGTATAGATCTCACCCGCTTTTTCAGTTGCCATTCCTGCTGCAAGTAGCGGGCCGGACGATGGACAGTGTTTCAGAGTGGTGCCGTGATGATGTGTGGACGTCCGTGTGATTTGGTGGATTTGAGTATTCAGGTGTTTTTCCATACACTGGATCCCTGTGGCCAGTAGTTCAAACGTCAGAGCAGAGCCGGCTGCTCCTTCTGCCTCCCGGTGGAACCAGAGCGGACTTGGGGACGACGGCAGGAACCCTGCTGCTCCCGAACCAGCGACCTCCTCACCTCGCTGAATCTGAACTGGATACGTTTTCTGTGTCGTGGAGCTTTGTCTGTGATGTGTAAGCCCTTTGTGCTTTTGGATCAGGTGGAAAAAATAATCAGTGTTAACAGACTGTCTTTTTGGCACTTGGATGAAGTGGAGATCGACTTCCCCACAGCCCCACTCACCTTAGTGACACCCCCTCTCCACACCCGCACTTCCCCCCTTTTTCAACCAGTGTTAGCCATTAACCTCGTGACTTGAACGACGGAGGACCAACCCTCCTCCTGTGTGTGCGAGCGAATTAGCCTAAATGGAATTAAAGCTGAGCAGAAGCATCCTCGTCTTGCCACTTTGTACAAACTGTGTGTCGTGTAGTCTAACGTGCTTTGGTAAAGTTTCCGTTAAGCTGCCGGGGGCTCGTCGTCTGCGCTCCTTCATGAACTTCATCGTCAGTTTCCTCAGTGGCGGGAAACATCGCTGACCTCCTGGTGTTACTGGAAAACAGAGTGGAACCCCGGGAACTGTGATGTTACCTTTTCACGTGAATTGTTGATCCTTCTCCTCACTTAAGCTAATATTAAAAGAGTATTCAGAGAAGAGGAGCGGTACTGAAAATATTGTTGTATGGGAGTGTGTGGGTGTTAGAATGCAAAGAAGAGCCTTTAAAACCCTTTCAGAGCATATGTACAGTGACAGAAACTAGCTGTTGAAATGTGTTATAGTGACTGAGGTATGTATGCTTTGATGGTGAACCAGTGAAAGATTTGATTTTGTAAATTTGAATTAAAACATGAGAATACAAAGATTGTGAGAAGAAGAAAAAAAAAACAACCACATGATCGACTGTTACTTTTGTTTGCAGGTGTATCTGGAGTGTTTGCGCATGGTCAGCTGCACATTTGAATGTAATTTTCAGGCTAACTGCTGTTTGTGAAATTGCTATGTCTAATAAAAAAAAGACAAACTAAGTGCGGGTGTGTGTTCGCCGTCTTGAGTGCGAAGTTAACTGTTGGACGGAGACGATAAAGAGAGAAAAGGTGAGTCCGCTGTTTAACCTTCAATCAACTCTAAAGCTTCCCCTTTCCCTCGGCTTTAATTACATAATTGAATTAATCTACTCAACACTGATATCCTGCTTATTGGAACTGAGTGATTAAGCTTTCACGTCTCAATCAATTATATTCCTACCTGTTAATTATGAAATGAACTGCGGTGTATTTCTGGAGATTTCTCGAATGCAGCACAACCTCTGCCGCTCCACTTCCATTAATCTGATTTCTCCGTTCTTCGAAGGCGGTTTTGTCATTACTCCTCAGGTCAAACGTGGCTGCAGACCTGAAGGGTGTGGATTAATTGATGTCTAATTAGGTAATTGCCACAGTGCCAGTTTTGATTAAGAAGCACGAGGCGGAGCGAGTGCTGAGCAAAGCTGCTTGCTGGGAGCCACACCGAGGTTCCATTTAGCTTTATTTTCCTTGCAGGTGTGGGGGAGTGTGTGACAGCTGGTGGTGGGATGCTATAGGAGCCCATTTCTGACATGCAGAGGGGTAAATGGATGAAAAGGTTGGAATGGAAATACTTCCAAATGATGAGAAGTTAAATTGCTGGTTTTCAGTCAGTTACGAGCAAAGTCAAACATTTTACATAATTTGTTAAGATACGAAGTCATAATCATGACATAGAGGGGAAAATATTATTAATTTTACTAAAAGGATTACAGCCATCCCAGTCTAAAGAGATAATTAATCACAGGTATTTTACCGTTCAAGTCATTTTGACATTTCTGTGATGGAAAGTTCACAATTACTGGACAGGAAATTAAAAGGCAATCGCTCTTTAAATTGATCACGAACAAAGACTTTGATTTATGTCCCGAGTTTGGCTTTAAATGTCATTTTGTGACTGCTAAAGTTCAGAACTCACAAAGTGCACGGAAAGGCCAATTCTTAATTTCTATGTGTCCACAAGGA